CAACAGATTCTTAAAGACACTTAGAGAGGTCAAAGGTCGAGAGCTTCAGATCTTTTTACAAGATATTCCAGGAAACAGGAGCGGAGTAGGAGAAGGTCCTTTTGTCTAGTTCAGTCCTCACTGAGGGAACACTGCAGGTAATGATGTCCTGAGAGCGCACGCTGTAGCTGCACTCACACAGAGACATGTAGGAGGAGATGTTTTCAAGATGGCAGCGCGCATGGTTGCAGCGGCTCACAGCTCTCCCTTTCAGTGCTTTTTAATGTTATTTTTGTACGTCCTTTTTTCTTGTGTTTGCATTGCCCAGTTTGCAAACATCAACTATGGACGTCAGACCCTTTTGGACATCGGTGAGCAGCACCAAATACCTGTTTCGAGTGACTTTCATTACAAGCACTACATCCCAGACGATATAACGAGATCACCCGGCTCTCCGTGGATTGTTGTCGGGCCTGGGAGGCGGCGCAGACGGAGAAGGGAGAGGAAGCAGAAGCGAGGCTGCAGGTCTGGCGTTATGCTAAGGCTAAGATCACAACCTCACAAGCCACCTCTACCGAGCCTTTATCTCTCTAATGCCAGATCCCTGGTGCATAAAACGGATTATTTGGAATTGCAACTCGCTGGAAATCGCTATGTTCGTGACTGCTATGTTCTGATTATCACCGAAACCTGGCTTCACCCCGGGATACCCGATGCTAGCATACAGCTAGCAGGCCGCTCTCTGCTACGCTGGGACAGGACTGCGGACTCCGGTAAGAGCAGAGGTGGGGTCTCTGTATTTATGTGCATGAGAACTGGTGTAATAACGGGACAATTATAGATAATCACTGTTCCCCAGACGTTGAGTACGTCTGTGAGATGCCGACCTTTTTTTCTACCGAGAGAGCTAACAGTAGTGATAATTACTGCTGTGTATATACCACCCGACGCTAATGTAAATACGGCACTCTCTCTCCTGCTGAACACCATCAATGAACAGCAGCGGGCTCACCCCGACGGTGTTCATATAATTGCAGGAGATTTCAATAGAGCTAATCTGAAGACTACAAAAAAGGTTGAATCATGTCATCTGGACTTCGTTTTTTTGTTAAAAAGAAACGTTTCGCCCCTCGTCCAAGAGGCTTCATCAGTCTGAGGCCTAGCCATCTGGTATTACCCAGAAGCCACCCTGACTCTTGTGTTCCAAGCCTGCCTCAGATACCCCTGAGGTCTGGCCTTTTCACTAATGGTTTCAAAAACACAAAGTTTGTTTTCTCAGTCATCCAGGTATATAACAACAA